AGCTATGATTTCTGGGCTAGAACTCGAGAAAAACGCAGTTTTTCGTTAACGCGATTAAAACTGATTAAAAATCAAGGAATCTGATTAAAATCTGATTAAAATCGTCTCATTTTAATCGATTGTTAATCCCAAAAAAATCGATTAAAATCCCGTTTTTTCTTGATTTATTTTTACATGGGATCATGATGTCAAATATTATTGTTTTACAAACATCAATAATTCAATACGTTTGAAAAAATCTAATAATCAATAAAAACACGTGTTTCATGATAAATGGCACTAAATCTCAATGCATTTTTCTCTTACTTTCTAAGCAAAAGAAGTTTTCTTGATATACTAAAAGATAGAGAATTTTAAACTACGAACTTCGCTTTTCAAACAAGTTTAAAATTACCGACGTCAAGTTGAAAAGATTCATGTCTACTCAGTCGTTCAGTTACGTGATTTTCCATTCTCTATCGGCGATTATTAAATTTTGTAAAGTCTTTGCTCGTCAAAACCGATACTGAAAGTAAATTACTTACTATCAATTGAAAGAGAATGTTGTAATCTATGCCTCTACGATCTTTTCAAGCTTTTCGAGACCGGTGTTTACGAGAAAAAGATTTAGAACTGACAACTGTTGATATTATTTTAGAGAACTTTGAAAAATCGTGTTTTTGAAAGACAGACTTGCTCTATGAAAGATTTATTATTATGCTATTGGATATAGAATTTAATTCTAAACAAAATTATGTAAAGATTACATTGAACCGTGAAAATATTCAAGTTATTTTGAATTAAAACATAACGATGGCATACGTCCATCAGAAAAAGGACTTTTTCTGATATTTTCGATGTGGGGCATGGATCCTCTCTTCATCCTAAGTGTAACCTACATCCATATTCACATCCTTCTATTTTCAAAAATAAAATGCATGAAAATAAAGGTAAGCACGTACTACATCCAATTACCTAATTCACTAATACTTCATATGTCTTGAAATGTATCTACTTCTTCGAAAAGAACATTATTTTTGAAACACATATAACCTCTCTATTGTAAACACTTTTGAAAATAATTTTTATTTTATAAAAATCGATACAAAAATGTAAAAAACAAGAAGTTCATCAACATAAAAGCTATGTGAAATGTTTAAATATATTCTAACAAAAGTTTCTGTTTATTGATATCATTATATATTTCACAGATAAATATCATATCATTGCATTTATGAAAGAAAAGTTATCTTTCATGTTGAAATTTAGAAAAATTTAAATTTTATATTTTAAGGTTAAACATTCTTTCGATATGTTTTTCGGATAATACTTAAGGAAAACAAATCTTCAATATTCAAATCACAATCGCAAATGATTCATAAGTAATAGTGAAAGATTATTGTAGAATGAACAGTTTTTCTTTGAATATTTTTAAAACAAAAAACAAAGTTCAGTTCAATTAGTGAAGTTTTTCAGAAAATAATAAACTTGAAACAATTCTTAAATTTGTCTATGAAAGCTTGAATATAAAACCAGTGGATACATTTTATACAAGTTAGTTGTTACCATAAACACAATAGAATTACGATATATATTATCAAAGATAAATGTTTCTGACGTCAATAGCTTGAAAAAAAAATTCGGTCTACTATCATCACAACATTTTTTTTTCTTCGACAATTTAACTTTCCTTTGTCTACCTCTATAATTTGATAAAAAAAGAGACAATGAAACAAAGATAAGACGTAAGCTCCTCTTCAGTTTGAAATAAATACAAAACGCATGTTATCTTCTTCCTACATAATGATATCATTATTGTTTGTTTTATGCTCTGCCTAAAATTCCTATGGTACAATATGATTCATACACCTTATTCCTTTTCTCTGTTGATTATTGTCCTGACGACACAGTGATGTGCTGCATTTTTTATTAAATATAGAAACAAGACATAGGCTTTTATACTTTCTAGTTATGACTACGGTTTTTTATTCTTTTCTCTGTTTATGAAACATTCGTCAGCAAAAAGTCGTATATCATGTTTATAATTCTCATGATTATTGTCTTAGCAACATTTTCGTCTATTTGTTGATGAGTAAAACATCGCTATTTAAAAGATGTTACAATTTTTTTTGTCTCACTAACGTATACGATGTTTAAATTCGGTATGATATAATTTCTTTTATCATAACTCGTTATTAGAGTTGCTTATGTTCTTCTAGTAATTATTTTCGTTATTGGATTATTCATAATCTCTTATGTTCACGGTCAAGATTCAACAGATGTGGCCTCAGTATGTATCCTTTAATACAGTTTAATTAATAAACTTTTTTTTTTCTAAAACAAAGACTGTCGAAACTTCAGCATCAACACTATCAAGGTCAGTGAAAATTACTTATTAAATTGTCAGTAGAGAATTTGTGTGAAATAAATAAAATTATTTCATAAAAATACAAGAATTTCTAAAGGATAAAATTCAGATATTTCAATGTTGACTGTTAATAAGCAGTTGCGGAGCTAGAAGAAGCTCAACCCTCCTTCCTCCTAAGTACTTTTGAGTCTCTCCTAGCCCTTATTCTTGGCTCTGCCACTATTGATAAGAGAAAAAAATACATACATATTTACTAAATAAAATTAGATTGATTTGATTATTGGAATAAATTTTTACTAAAAAGAAAAACGAAATTTCTTTGTCATTGAAACAAACAAAACATTTATGAATTTTGTAAAATAGAAAATAAAATTTATCTATGGATATCTTAATATTTCACGATGAATATAATTACCTATAGAAAGCTTTCGAAACAACAGAATTAAAAATTTGAAAATCAGTCACAAAATCTTTTAGACCATCAACTTTTGACTTCTCCAAAAAAAAAACTGAAGAATCTCCTTCGCTTTTTATGTATGATCTTCGTACTGCTTTGGTGCTTAATTATCAAGAAAAATATATTTGTCACATATTCAACAATTCTTTACTTTTAGCGATACAACTACAACAACGTCACTAGCAGAAGAAACTTCAACTGCCCAAGCTTCTCCAACGTCAATGTCCGATGTACTGATAAATGCAACAAATACAGAGGTATAGTTGATTCAATATTGAGAATAGTTAGTTGATATATTCCATATATTTTCTTAATATGAATATGATTCATATTATTTCAATTGTAATTGATAGAATTCTAAATTTGTTTCGAATCTTATGATTCATTACAAAGTGAATAATGTGGGCATGATGTTTATCTGTTATTCAAAATAAAAGTTAAATATTTATTCTAGCTAAAATATAGAATGATGAAAGAAAAAACATTCTTACGAAAGATTCAGAAAAGATCAATCTAGAAAGTATGAATTATATTTTTAGTTAAGTGTAACAATGATAGCATCTACAATTATCTCCACGCAACGTCCTTTCGGTCTACTATTTCAATGTAATTTCGATACGGCATGTTTTGCCGAGAATCAACTCAAACGAACTGATGGCAGTGAATTTATACTTGTTGAGTCTTCTGATGGCTTAGAACCTCCTAGAGCACCGACTTCTGATGTTACATCTATTAGTAAGTTTCATGCCATTTTTGAATTCGAAGATCATAAATATTATTGACGATTATTACAGCTGTTTCAACAAACAACAGTGAAACATGTAAACTACCTTATCAACTACCATTCAATAATGGTACGGATATCGCTAACTGGAATATGTACTTTTGTTATAATGATCAATGTCCAACACAGAGTGGACAGACAGGAACATGTAAATCAGGTAAAACTTCATCTTGGGTGAAAGATTGTTGAAAAAAGTATTCCTCTTTCCAGATGGAATTTTCTTTTTCTCAAATATGTTTTTGCTGGATATTTCTTGTTGGAATTTTATAGAGTTTTAAATATTTCAAATTTAATTAGATGATTATAATTGAAATCAAATTTGATGTTTTTTATAGGTTTTTATGGTCTTACATCACTTAATTCATCAGAACCATCGAAGACAATCATTGGATCAATCGATTCCAATTCTATTCTAAGAGATTCAGTTGGACAACAATGTCTTCGATTTTATTATTATTTTACTATTTATGATAAAGAAGATTGGGGTCAACGGATTCAAGTGTTGATTAGACCTAATAATGAAACTGTCAATGAATTTTCAATTAAAGACCTTACAATAGTGAATATGAACGAAAATAAATGGGAATTTCAATCTGTAACATTTAATTCAACATTTTCTCGTTACACAGTAAGATGTTATTTTTTTTAGAAAAACTTATTAAGAAATAAAAATTTTGAATTTTTAGTTAGTCTTTTCTTTTTCTGTTGATGGAAATAATCCAACAGTCGATGGTATATCGAATCGAACAGTTTATTTTGCATTAGATAATATAGAATTATATGATTTTAATTGTTCATGTAAGTGAAATGAAGAGAAGAATTTGCAATAAAACTGTGAATAAATTTTGATTTAGATGTGAATGACGAATTGCCTAGTTCGACAGTCATGGCAACGCGGGAAATAACTATAATATCGACTCCAACAACGGCAACGCCATTGACAACAACAACAATAACAACAACAACAATAACAATACCAACAACAACAACAGCAGGTAAACGAATAAATGATTTCAAGCCATTGTTTGCTATTCTTTTTTTTTCATTTAGATAAACCTAATTTAGCTCTAATACTTGGTCTCTCATTGGGTC